TTTAAGGAAAACAAAAATGACAAGCATGAACCAACGACAACTGCTAAATAACAGGCTCCTGACTACCTGATTTCGGACTGGTACAAAAAGAATGTGGCGGGGTTAAGCAAGTTTGTGAGTGCTCATCCATAGACGGATCCAGGGGGGGGGGGAGGGGCTTGGGGGCCCGGGCCCCCCTTTCATGGGAAAAATATGGTTGATTATATAGGGAATCACTGAAGCAAGACTGGAGCGCCCCCCCCCCCCCCTTTAGGTCAGTCAGCGGGCCCCCCTTATGAAAAGTTCTGGATCCGCCACTGTGACATCCCTCCCCTTAACCTGTGACAGTAGTGTAACTGCACAACAAAGAATAAAGAACAAACTGTCAAAAATCCGTTGCGAATGGCCTAACTCAATAGATCGATACGAAGCACGAAAAAAACAACTAACATAAAAACAACAGACACAAAGCACCGATATAAGAGAACTCTGAGTTACAGAAAGCTATCCCAAAGCTAATTACAACTAATAAATTAATCATGTTCTCCCAGACTGCAGTCATGATCAAATAATACACATCTAACGGAGTTAGTATAAAGACGTTATTTAAACAGTCTGAGAAACGCACGACCTTGTGAAAAGCCAACATATAAGTTAACAGTATCAAAAGGATGTAGGGTCATCATGTGTACCCGTAACTGAGCAAATAAAGCAATATATAGTTAGCTATGTTCTAAGTTTTTAAAAACAAAAGCAATGTTAAAGGGTCTGGATAACCCGAATAATTCAGTCGTTATATTCCACTGCTCTACGATGGCTACATTAACGCGAGTGGGAGAGTCGATCACGGGGAGGGACTGAATTATTCGGGTTAGGGTCTGGATGGGGTTTACAGAATAGAGAATAATGGGCAAAATGTGCAGAATAAAGGCCTAAAAATAAAGAATAGAATAGGTCAAAAAATAAAGAATAGAGAATAACAGGCAAAATCTATAAAGAATAAAGAAAATAGCCTCAAAAATGTTTATTTTTTCGAGAGCAACATTTAAAATGTCCGGGTTTTTAAACAAATGGTACAGGTTTTTCAAAGAAAATGTGAATAAGAAAGAAGGCATTCTTGGGCTTAAAAGCTAACTTTTTCTAGTTTGTAACTATAATTTAGTGAAGGGCAATATCATATATTCCTAATAAGTAACAAAACATATTACTATGTAGATCAAATTTAACCCTTTTAAATTTAATAATAATTTTCTGATCTGAAAACATTTTACCATAACCTTGCAGTATTAAGATTTATTAGAAATTACTGGAATCTTTGTAAAACTGTTTTTAAAACATAGAACAGGGGAATTTTTTTTGCTACAATATGTTTTACAGTAAATAATAGTTTATGATTTATATATATTACAGTGGCGAAACCTGAAGTTTTAAAAATAGGGTTAAGAAAAACAAAGGGACATTTTTGCTCTCTTGTAAAAAAGTTAAGTAAAATTATAAAAAAAATAGATTAAATATTTTTCTTCATAAATTAATAAGATTTGATTCGATCTGAATCTGTGATAAGTGCAAATTAGGGGGAAATAAATCCATACACGAATGACTAATTAACTATTTAAGCCATACTTAAAATTACGGATAAGATGCTCAAAATGGGATATTTTTTTTTATCTTAAAATGTGGAAATCGAGATGTTCTTATAATGTCATTTTTTTCATTCTTCTACCGTGATTAACTTTCTTGTGTCATGCTTTCTCCAATTAGCAAATAAAAAATATATGTCACCATGCTGGATTCGAAGATAATTCGCGATTAATCTTAAAAAAAATATAGTTGTATGCCATTATTACCGCGTCCTCTAATATTTGATATAATCAAATGGAATGAAATGTTCCGTGGTGGCATTTACTTCTTTTGAAGTGCTTTTTTATTTATTTATGGGATTACAATAATTAAAACTGGATGTTTGCGTTATCTTAACTTTCGATATGAAATTTTAAAGATCATTAACACAAATTGATATTGACTTTGCTTGTAACTAAAATGCGCTGTAAATTTTGTTTGTGTGCTGTCGACTAACGGGCTGTCAAAAAATCGGATCCAAAGCAGTATTCGATCAGGAATGAATGATAATGTTTTTGATAATTGGTATGCATTATGTTAACACCAAAGGGTTGAGTCGTCTTGAGATTGCTCACTGTACGATACTTTATTGACTTCATTGTTGGCGACCCCACAGAAGCTTCAAGGCGAGGAGCAGCAGAAACGGTAATATGTGTTTAATTTCTTGTGATTTAGTAGACTTTTATCCCGTGTAATGAGGGTCGTAATGGGGGTACCTATTTTTGGTGCATGACGAAGAAATGTACATTTTCTTTATGACGATAAAAAAAATCGACTGATTTTGACAAACCACGTTAAATTCGTTCCACATGATAATTTTTTGAGACCTCTGACGAATCACAATAAAATTTTAACCAATTTGACGCTAACGGTAGCCGAAAATGACCGTTTGACGCATGACGGTTAAGGACATTCCTACCCACGTGTAAATACCCAAAACGCTAGAAATTATCAAACTTCGCTAATCCTAAGAGCGTAGAAGTTAATGATTGGGGAATTGTTTATACAAGATACAGTTCAAGCGATTTTTTTTTTATTACGGAAAATTACATGCATGCCGTCCCGCCGAAAGTGACGTTCTGGACGTATTCGAACGCGTAACATCGGATATAAACGGATTCCATAGTGCCGAGCGAGCGAGGCGAACATTTATTTGGACGAATTTATGCTTAAAAATCATATAAATCGTGAAAGACAAGATAGAATTTTTTTTGGGGCGATCAAAGGGGATGGACGTACGCCCTCTACTGATCGACGCACCCCCTGCAGGGGCGGACCCAGCCATTTTAAAAAGGGGGTTCCCAACCCAGGATAAAAAGGGGGGTTCCCAAATATGTCCCCATTAAAATGCATTGATTGTAAAAAAAAAGGAGGGTCCCAACTATCGGACCCCCCCCCCCCCCAAACTGGATCCGCGCCCTGGCTATATCAGCTACTGGGCCGCGTTATTTAATATCTTTTAATCGTGCATAAAAAGCGCGGTTCCTTTGCTTTTTATGTGTTTTTTTCTGTGTATATAATGATTTTGTGTCATGGATGGATACCCATATCTTTTGTTTTTGTATCATTCAATGAAATAATGGCCCGTGCCAAACTATCTATATATATATATATAGAATTAAGGAGATGTGGTATGATTGCCAATGAAACAACTATATCCACCAAAGTTCACATGAAGTGGATGTATTAATTATTATATAATGCAATTATAGGCAATTAACCGTACTGCCTTCAAAGGTTTATTTTTGCGGGATATATATAGATATCCTAAACTGGACACCAGTGTGTGGAGCGAGGCTTTAGATGGAATGGCGGACCAGTTTCGAGAAGATATATCAGGCCAAGAATTTTTAACCACATTTGCTGCATTTTTGCAGTCAGGAGCCTCTGGCCTTTAATTTTTGTTAGTCTTGAATGTTTTTTTAATGTTAGTTCATTTATATGTTTTGGAGTTTAGTGTGACGTCCATTTTCACTGAACTAGTACACAATTTTATTTAGGGGCCAGCTGAGGACCACGAATCCGGGTCCGTTCGCGCCCAATCACGTTCGCCCCCATGCACGTTCGCCCCCTTTCACTTTCGCACCCTACACGTTCGCGCCCAAAGTCCGTTCGTACCCTACACGTTCACGCCCAATTTTTATTGGTTTTGTGTTTAATAATTTGCAAACGAGTTTTGGTAAGTGTACTGCTATAAATATATATTTTTTCATTTTTTCTAAATAAAGTGAGATTCTGACAAGGTTTTTTTTGTGTCATGGTAAATGTATTGCTATTATATAAACATTTTTTTTCATTGTTTCAGTTAATTAAAGTGAGATTCTGACGACCAGTATTTTATTTTTGTGTTGAATAATTTTTAATCATGTTTTGGTTAGTGTATTGTTATAAATATTTTTTTTTCATTGATTCTAAATAAAGTGAGATTCTGACAACGTTTTTTGATGTGTTGAATAATTCGTAATCATGTTTTGGATAGTTAAGTGTATTGCTATAAATATTTTTTTTCGTTGTTTATGAATAAAGTTAGATTCTGACACACATGAGATCAAAGGAGCCAATTAAGCTGTTAAAAACAATTATCTTTCATGTTTTTTATTTAAAATCTTCAAAGTTTTACTCATACCAAGCTAAATACATGCCAACAATCATGATTTTTAAACACTCAACAATAACACCAAATTAGGCTGTGTATAAATACCAATTAGCAATAATCATACATAATTAACATTTAATAATCATCAAATCAATTTAAAACAATATTTCATTTAAAAATTCCCGAATTTTTATTTATAAAAATAAAAATATTTTGATATAAACATCTACAAAACATCTAAAAATTTATCAGGTTTTTGAATAAAAAAAAAGGGTGCGAACGTGTAGGGTGCGAACGGACCTAGGGGGCGAACGTGTGGGGTGCGAACGTGTAGGGAGTGAACGTGTATTGGGCGCGAACGGACCCGATACCCTTTTACCGAGGACCACCTCCGGGTGCGGGGTTTTCTCGCTGCGTTGAAGACCCATTGGTGACCTTCGGCTCAGGTTGTCTGCTCTTTGGTCGGGTTGTTGTCTCTTTGACATATTCCCCATTTCATTCTCAATTTTATCCTGACCAAAGCAACGTATGCTTTATTATTATGATTTGGTTATCTAACGATACATGTATATAAAATCATTTCCGCGTTTTTCTCTCAAAAATATGTTGATAATGATGCAATAGCATGATGCAAGAATTTCATCATACGGAATTTTTCGGGTGTTCTTCAGATTTATCTCCACTTGTTACAGAAAGAGAGTTCCGAATGCTGAACAACCGGTTTAGTATTAGCTGTTTTGACTTTTTACGTTCACCTATTACAAAAAATAATAGTCGAAGAACCAGTCCTCTTATGTCTTAACATTTCTGAAGAAGTGATTGGTCTCTGAAGTCACACCTTCCACATTGTTTATTCGAGGTCAAGGTCTTTTGTAAAGAAATGTCGATCATTGGAAAATTAAACTTTCAAGAACTGAATAATTTGAACTTATGTGTGAAGAGATTGGCTAAACATTGCTGTAAACGACAATTTAACAAACAGATTTCAAATTCCGTAAGTAATTCTTAATACTTTAGTTCAATTCTGTTCCATAATTTTAAAATTATTGTGATAATTTTGAAAACTAAATCAGCTGATTGTCCCAACTTGACCTTTCATAAACAGTCGCCAGTTTCTTGGGAAAATGAACGGCTCAATACAGGGAAAGGGATGAAAAGTGTGCTAAAGTAAAAATGAATGATGTTTGGTCCTGTTAAGGTGGCCAATATTCTATACTTATATACAAATACAGCACGGCTATACAAGTTTTGAAAAGCTAATTTAATGCAAGGGGAAGTAATAATATATAATTATAGTTTTCATCCAAATTTGGTTGTCCAAGACTTAAACAAGTGTGATAGTGGGAAAATGTACAAATTGCAGATGAATAGTTGATATATCAATATTTGTTTGTGATTTGATTGATGAAGGCAACATATACTTTGCACTAGACACAAGGATAATAATAATAATAAATTCTTTATTTAAAGAGGGTAAACACAGTTAGTTACAATTACTAATCTTCCCTAAGGCCCTCACAGGGGCATAGGGGTTACCTAGACTCACCAATAATTATAATTTTCAGTTTTGTATGTATTTTATCAAAGATAATCAGAATTATTCCCATATTTATTTTATATAATATAAAAATGAGAAGATGTGGTATGATTGCCAACAAGACAACTCTCCACAAGACACCAAATGACACGAAAGTAACAACTATAGGTCACCATATGACCTTCAACAATGAGCAAAGCCCATACCGCATAGTCAGCTATAAAAGGCCTCGAAATGACAAATGTAAAACAATTCAAACGAGAAAACTAACGGCCTAATTTATATACAGTATAATGAACAAAAAACAAATATGTTACACAGCAACAAACGACAACCACTGAATTACAGGCTCCTAACTTGAGACAGACACATACAGAATACAAGTATGTTTCTATTTGGTATACTTGGGCATGTCATTTAACATTGTCCCTTGGCAGTCGGGCCACCTTACAATATGTATCAACAACTCTGCATTAGACACGAGGATGACATGCCAGGTTTGTGCATATGCTCATAACATTTTAACCAAATTCTCTATCTTCATACATGTTACCATGGGCATCTATCTCCCATCTTGCCATGCAGCACTGTCCCATGGTGGCTTTCGCAGATATTAAAGTTACATATCCACAAAATTGTCAATTTATTAAAAGCACTGTTTCATGTTGGGGTGTGCCTGAAAAGGAGGTATTACATGTACACTTGCAAACATAGCAGGGTTTAAGAACATCCGTTGTTCAACCTGCTAGTCAAATGCGTTTTGTTAAAATAGACTTTTTCACTTTTTTTGGTCTTTTGGAAAATGTTGTTTGTGCTGTATTTAGACCCCTCTACCAAGAAATTTGTTTTGCATGCACACGTATAAAAATTGTGGTTTTTTATCCAACCCAATCATAGGTTTGAACATTGTTTTCAATTTAGACTTGTTTATATATATATATATATATATATATATATATATATATATATATATATATATATACTGTACATGTTAAGTCAGAAATTATTGTGAGGTATTTATTTATGCAAATGATGCGACTTGGTGATTATCCCATAGTAAGAACTCGCATTCCGATATCTGATACGTTTATCTGTATGCAAATTTTCCTAAAATCGCAATTATTAATCTCGCATTTCTGTCCATTCTTCAAAAATCGCAATAATAAATGCACGCAATAATTTCTGAACTTACAGTATATTTATATGTGTGTGTAGTTTATACATGTTCAAACTGCTTTTTCTTTTCTATGTATGTATACTTGATTATTGTTTTTTGTTGTTTAACTACATGTACTGTCTCAGTCTGATGTTGTAATGTGCTCTTTGTGAGCCCATTTAATGGAAATAAAACTTCTTTTTTTCTTCTTCTACTTCTATTGGTCCCAGATTATAGATACAATAAATGTAACCTATATATATGTAACACTCAGAAACGTGTTTATCCACCCAAATGTGTCTGATTCCCCCAAACGTGTCCATATGCGGTCACTGAAATGCAAAACATGTCTAGGGGCTAAGAGCGCCAAAACGTGTTCTGTTTATAAATGCCCAATCGTGTCCAATTTCAAAAAACGTGTCCAATCCCATTAACGTGTTCATATGTAGCCAAAAGGTATCTTTTTTAAAACATGTAAAAGGTAAGAAACCATTTCTGCAGGAAGCCAGTCATTCAATACCCTCTTACATTATTAAGATAGTAAGGCATCACTGGAGTATATCAGTACAAAAGAATTCACTTAGTAAACGATGAAATAAACTGTTCAACACTATTGAATTACAATGTGTATGTTTGCATCTAAACATGCATGAAATATTTGCCACAGGACATTTAGCAATCAACAGTCAATAGTTAATCATGTGTTGCAAATTAAGCTTGCAATAATTATACTTAATATAAACAACCGATGTTGAACAAACTTATGCTAATACATGACTACTTGATTAATAATAAAGCACTGGGAAAACTTGTAAGATAAAATGAATCAAATTTCTTAATTGTGAAATACCTCCATCTAAAATTTAAAACAGTGATAATCATATTGATAAAAAAATTTGATAAAAACGATGAAAGTAAAAATATCTTTCTATTGTGCCATTCTAATTCTTATCTGGTGTCTGTTTTTTGACAGCAGGAGTCAATAGGCATACATGGAGTGTACCATATCTTGGACATTTGTCTGTACGGATCACTTATTACAGCTTTCATCCAGATATCCTTGGATAGCGACTTCGATCTTTTGTTTTTAGAATCCAACTAAAACCCGACCTCTTTGACAATCATGTTCCCCATCTGAGGACATATTAACGCTAAAAGTTTTGTGACATTCTGGCGTTTTAAACTGGACACGTTTTGGGCGAATAACAATTATCGGACATGTTTGTGTGATTTGTGATTTTAAAGACAGGTTTGGGGGAATCGGATATGTTTGGGGGATGGACACGTTTGGGAGTGTTACATATATATATACATCAATCACAAGTAAAATAAAAACATAAAATGCTTGATTTATTCTCATGTTGTAAAAATCAGACTAGAAATAAATTAGGAAAACAAATATTTTGTATACATGTACATGAATACAGTCATGTAAAACTTAAACCAGAAAAATTTGTTTTGTGAGCTTCACTTTTGCATGCAACTGTACCTTCATCAACAATACATGCAGCTCATTGTTGAAGATTGTACGATGACCTATAGCTGTTAACTTCTATGTCATTTGTTGTTTCATTGGCAATTATACCACACCTTCTTACAAAATGTATTTTTATATTCATTGGCAAGCAAATGGTTTGTCTCTGTGTACATTTGCCGCTATTGATAAGTGAAATGTAAAACAGAATTGTCCAGTTTCAATAGAAACTTTTAATAGAAACAACTTGGCACAAGAATATACCAAACTCATTACACATAAGCAAAAATTTAGATAAAAATGGTATAGAGTTGTTGGTTACATGTAAAATGTGTTAGTGGTTCACACATTACTTTAATACATGTACATATAATTATAGTGGATTAAGGATTTCCAGCTATTCCTGGTAATTTCATCCTCCAGACCCACTATATAATGTCCAATAATGTGGAATAAACTGGATGTTTCAGGGAATCTTTGTAAACTGATACAATAGGCAATGGCCAGATGGCCAGCCATTACATCTTGGGGTAGATGGTATGACATTCACAAAACACCACAACAGTATTTTGCCACTATCATTATATATCAGTACATGTACAGTAGCAAATCCTAAATCCAAATCCAATATTACATAATGTTGCACATTAACCTGCTGTAAAGCTGAACACAAAATATTCCACCTTTCAAGTCTTTGAAAATAAATTCACATGCTGTTCCTTTAAGAATGCAAAGCTTGCTTCCAACTCAATGTCAAGGTCAATTAAAATTGTGCTCCCAGTTTGTCATATGGTTCATTGGTTGGTACAGTATGAAATTGAGAAACCTATAAGAATGTATCTGACAAGTTTTAATTGACCTTGACATTGAGTTGGAAGCAAGCTTTGCATTCTTAAAGGAACAGCAAGATTCTTATGTGATTGAAGTAAATGTTTGACTTAAAATTATCATCTCTTCTCATTTTGTTTTTGTATGGAAGATGATGTATTTTTAAAATTAAAACATATATAAGGAAAGAATATTGATTTATTGTATAAGACCTCTCCCCCTCTTGTTCCTGTATCAGTCTGTTATACGAGATTTTCAAATCAGTCCACGTCTCATCATAAACTACTGAATATATTTCAGTTTTATTTACACAAAATATATATTACTTTTCTTTCTGCAGCAGAATTGAGTATTAGATATTTGGTTTTAAAGTAAAGTTGGTGTAGAAGTCTAAATGGTGATTTTTTTCTGTCTATTGATATAGCTGCATTTCTTTTCACATCTACATGTAAGTTTACAAAACTTACTTTTGTTGTCCTGAACATGCATGAAATATTTGCCACTGGATGTTTAGCAACCAACATTCAATCCATCCTTCTCATGACATGTTTTTTTATTTAGTTCATGAACATGATGAAGTTGAGCAAATCTCAGCATACTATATTTATCAGAGCTTATAAAATTAGAATAAGTCTTTGACTATTATATTGTTAAGTATACCAGTTTTTAAAATCTTACAGTTGTCTGAAAAATTCATTGAAATAACATAAAAATCCCAGTTTGAACTTCTTTCTTTCTCATAAACAAGCAAACTAACTTATGTTTTATTTTATGATTTTGCAATCATCTCATTTTGAACTTTTATGATTTTGCAATCATCTCATTTTTAACAATCTACAAATATTTCAAAATAAAAAAAAAAACCAGTAGAATTGGAAAATTTATAAAATCCCCTTAAAGTAAGATAGTTGTTAGCTAAAATGTCTGTACATGAAAATACTATGGTAGGCCGGCTATAAATGAGCCCTAGGCTTTACAAAATCTATGTTAGTTGATAATGCTAACTATGTTTCTTTTTGATAGAGACCAAATGTTCTGATTGTTTGTACAACTGTCTCGAAAAAAACAACTTTGTTTTATGCATTGTTGCTTTTTAGGCCTAATTACTTTGCTCTTGAGATTTTTTATGCCCCACGCCGTAGCAGAGGGGGCGTTAAGTTTTACCCTTGTCCGTCTGTACGTCCGTACATACGTACCAAAGTTGTTTTCTGTTCTCTAACTTTAGTTTTCCTCAACCACATGGTATGAAACTTATACACAATGCTTATTACCACAAAATACAGATCAAGTTTGAATTTTGGTGTAGTCACTTTAACCGGTCTAGAGTTATGTCCTTTTACAATTGGACAAATTGCTAAATTTTCGTTTCTGTTCTCTAACTTTAGTTTTCCTCAACCACATGGTATGAAACTTATACACAATGGTTATTACCACAGAATACAGATCAATTTTGAAATTTGGTGGCGTCACTTTAACCGTTCTAGAGTTATGCCCCTTTGCAATTGGACAAATTGCTAAATTTTTCGTTTCCGTTCTCTAACTTTAGTTTGCCTCAACCAAATGGTATGTTTAATGCATTGTTGCTTTTTAGGCCTTATTACTTTGCTCTTGAGATTTTTTTTATGCCCCCGCCATAGCAGAGGGGGCATTAAGTTTTACCCTTGTCCGTCTGTACGTCCGTACATACATACCAAAGTTGTTTTCTGTTCTCTAACTTTAGTTTTCCTCAACCAATTGGTATGAAACTTATACACAATGCTTATTACCACAAAATACAGATCAAGTTTGAATTTTGGTGGCGTCACTTTAACCCTTCTAGAGTTATGCCCTTTTACAATTGGACAAATTGCTAAATTTTTCGTTTCTGTTCTTTAACTTTAGTTTATCTCAACCAAATGGTATGAAACTTATACACAATGGTTATTACCACAAAAATACAGATCCATTTTGAATTTTGGTGGCGTCACTTTAACCGTTCTAGAGTTATGCCCCTTTGCAATTGGACAAATTGCTAAATTTTTCGTTTCCGTTCTCTAACTTTAGTTTGCCTCAACCAAATGCTATGAAACTTATACACAATGCTTATTACCACAAAATACAGATCAAGTTTGAATTTTGGGGGTGTCACTGTTATTGTTCTAGAGTAATGCCCCTTTACAAATGGAAAATTTGCTGAATATTTTGTTTCTGTTCTCTTACTTTAGTTTGCCTCAACCAAATGCTATGAAACTTATACAAAATGCTTATTACAACAAATTACAGATCAAGTTTGAATTTTGGTGGTGTCGCTTTAACCGGTCTAGAGTTATGCCCCTTTACAAATGGAAAAATTGCTGAATTTTTCGTTTCCGTTCTCTAACTTAATGAGGGGCCTGATGGGGGGGGGGGGGGTCTCATCACGATTCATGAGTTGATTTTTTTGTCAATCACAATTCACAGAAAATAAATTTCCATGATCACGGATCACGAAAATATTAAAAAAAAAATTTGTAGAAAAACGGATCACGATAGCAAAAATGCGCCAATCACGAAGAACGAAAATAATCCATCAGGCCCCTCCTTAATGTCTCAACCAAATGTTATGGGACTTATACACAATTGTTATAACCACAAAAATCAAATCAAGTACAAATTTGGATAGCTTCACTTATACCGTTCTTCAGTTATGTCCCTTTATACGTTATATGATATGCAAGCGGGGGCATCATCTGTGTCCCATGGACACATTCCCCATTTTTTTAGAAGAATTAGATCCATTAAAAGTTAATTTAAACCTAAATCAGGTGCATGATTATAAGTTTGAAAAAGTTTTGATGAAATACCAGGAATGCAATGTTCTATTAGCTATAGACAAAAGGGAAGTTTCTAGTACAATATTTGTGTCATCTTTTTGGGGTAAAAATGCTTAAGTATTTTTTTGATTATTTCTATATACTGATATCTATAGTTGCTGCATTATTACTCATATTCCTGTGGACTAACAATATATGTGTTGTGAAAGAAGTAACATTTATTTATTAAAAATCTGAACAATGAATTTACTAGTAAAAGTTACCTTGATTTTAACCTTGTATTGAGTCAATGCAGTCACCTTGATAAGTTATATATTGTACAAGTAAGTTTTACTGTACAAATATTTTAATATAAATGATCTTTTTTTATGTACATGTATTTGTATTTTATTATGTTTAATTATGTTTTAGACACTTCGTGGTAAGTTTGGTTTCCTCTTTGACATTGATGGTGTCATTGTAAGAGGAAAACGTCTACTTCCATCAGCTAGAGCTGCTTTTGAAATGCTGATAGATCGACATGGACATTTTCAAGTTCCTACACTTTTTGTTACAAATGCTGGCAATAGCTTACGGCAACAAAAAGCTGAACAGCTATCAGAATGGTTAAAAATAAAGGTATTAATTTGTAGTCAAATATTTCTATGAAACTTTTGTTTTGAGGGTAAAAAGCTTTTTTTCCACAAGGCTTTGGATTTACAAGCTGCATTTATTGCTCTTACTTTTGCTGTTTTTTATTGATCTTATTGTTATAAGTTAAACTTGGTATATACCCAATGCAACACAGTTGCTGTAGCTGTAATGTTTTTACCTCTAGATTTCAATCTGTTAGTCATTACCTGGATATCACCTTCATTTCTTGACTGGTAACCTTCAATTTAAGATAAAGGTTTACTTTTATTAAACCTAGGAAGACTTAGATTTAAGAATAAGAATTACAAATATATATTTATACTTTATATTCATATAAATAAGTGCCTATAAATAGCAACACATAACATACAAATCTATTTGAGTGTGTATTAATCAGTACAAAGATTAATACAATTACACAAATAAAATATAAATTGCTTATCAATGTAATTTAAATGCACTATTTAGTATATAATTATTAAATTGTTAAAATATTTACAATGCAATAAAAAAAAAATAACCACAGTATTTCACTAGACAAAATAGCTTCATCGGGCGTGCAACTATCCAGGTGAAATTGGATGCAGATAAGAAACTTTTGCAGCTCTCTTTTTATGCCTCCGCTGTAGCGGAGGGGGCATTAAATTTTACCCTTGTCCGTCTGTACGTCCGTCCATACGTCCCGAAATTGGTTTCCGTTCTCTAACTTTAGTTTGCCTCAACCAAATGTTATGAAACTTATACACACTGCTAATAACCACAAAACACAGATCAAGTTTGAATTTTGGTGGCGTCACTTGTACTGTTTTAGAGTTGTGCCCCTTTACAAATGGAAAAATTGCTGAATTTTTCCTTTCCGTTCTCTAACTTAAGTTTGCCTCAACCAAATGTTATGAAAATTATACCTAAATACTTATTACCACAAAACACAGATCATGTTTGAATTTTGGTGGCGTCACTTTTACCATACTAGAGTTATACCCCTTTACAAATGGAAAAATTGATGAATTTTTCGTTTCTGTTCTCTAACTTAAGTTTGCCTCAACCAAATGTTATGAAACTTATACACAATGCTTATTACCACAAAACACAGATCAAGAGTGAATTTTGGTTGCGTCACTTTTGCCATTCTAAAGCTATGCCCCTTTACAAATGGAAAAATTGCTGAATTTTTCGTTTCTGTTCCCTAACAGTTAAGTTTGCCTCAACCAAATGTTATGACACTTATACACAATGCTAATTACCACAAAATACAGATCAAATTTGAATTTTGGTGGCGTCACTTTTACCATTCTAGACTTATGCCCCTTTACAAAAGTATAATTCAACAATGTATACTGTTTGTATTATGAACTATGTTTTAATTAATATTGTGTATAATATGCTCCTGTTACGCAGTCTTCTGCGGCTGAGTTTTCTTTAATAAACTATGAAACAAATGGAAAAATTGCTGAATTTTTTGTTTTCGTTTTCTAACTTAAGTTTGCATCAACCAAATGTTATGAAACTTATTAGCAATGCTTATTACCTCAAAACTCAGATCAAGTACGAATTTGGGTAGTGTCACTTTTACCATTCTGGAGTTATGTCCCTTTATAACGTTGTATGCAAGCAGGGGCATCATCTGTGTCTCATGGACACAATCCCCATTTATTTATATATATATACATAAAGATATGCCCCAAGGGTTGGTCAAGGGCCGACAGACTTGCTCTGGAAAGTTTTTGGATAAGGAAGTTACGGACAGTTTCCCCAGAAGGCATTAATGAAAAAACATAGAATGAGTCCCTACTGTCACTTGTTTCCAGTAACTCAGGCTTCAGTACAGGACTCTTACAGTTTTAAGGAATTTATTCCTCCTCCCAAACATCAGTTTTGAAAAAATTTACCAACATATTGATTTGTCAGGACTCTTACAGTTTTAAGGAATTTATTCCTCCTCCCAAACATCAGTATTGAAAAAATTTACCAGCGTATTGATTCGTGATAATTTGTATAATGATCAAGATTACTATTACAGTGTGACCACCACATGTCAAGATAAGAACCATTTGACATCTTACTGATGAAAGATATTAGTTATCTGAAATATTTAACATATGTTCATGATTTTATTTTTTTTTTTGGTGATGTTGTACCCTTTTAGACTTGCTTATTATATACATATAGATATATATATATATATCTGTTTATAAAAATATTGGTCAATCTGTTAATTTTAAGCATGAAAATAAACAATTGAAAAAAAAAATGGTCTAATGTAAGAATGGCTTCTTTATCCAGAAAGTTAAATCTTTCTTTGCTTTTGTCTGAACAACTTTTGATTTCAAAATTTGTCTATCCATAATGAAAAAGTACAAGAATCTGCAGTGGACTCACATGAATTAGGATTAGAATATAAGCTTATCATTTACCAGTAGAGTTAGAGTTATTCAAATATACCATGAAATGAGTAAATATCTACAAACATTGAAACTGAAATGAGACTGATGATTAAAATAATTTTTCATTGAAATGTTCTATTTTTCAGAATTTAAAAAAAAAACTAGATTGAATATTATATCATACATAACAAAGTGGCAGAATTTCTTTCTCCAATGATTTAATAAAAAAAACTTGATTGTATTCTGTATAGATTTTGCATAATATCCCATTCAACAATTCAATCAATGTGTAGTTAAGAAAATAATAATTTTCCCTCCATATTATTATGATATAATAGTACATATTCATTAGTTATTGTTATTTTAGGTTGACGCTGACCAGGTTGTGATGTCTCACAGTCCTCTGAAAATGTTTCGACAGTTCCATGACAAACAAGTGTTAGTCACAGGACAAGGGCCAGTTGTAGATATTGCTAAAGGCCTAGGATTTAAAAATGTGATAACAGTAGACGAGATACGACATATTTTTACCAGTCTTGATATGGTTGATCATAAACGTCGCAAATCTGCCGTAAGTAACTACATTATTACAAAGACATTAAACCACAAGACTTACATATTCACAAATGTATTTAAATGTAGACTACATTTTACAATTCATCACATATTAGGATATCCGTATCAGTTATAGTTGGTGCCTTATAAACAGGATATGATGGTACTTTTTTTGCATCACATCTCACGTCATGATATTAGAGATAGGATACTCTAAATATTTATCTGGAATAAAAACTAAAATTCACTAAATTCATGACATATGAATTTACAATCACAACATTATCAGTATGACAAGATTACACACCTGTAATGGTGGTTATAAACTCTGTAAGTTACATACTGTTTTACTGAAAAAATTAACATCCCAATCAGACAACTCAACCCATTGTCTGTGTAATCTTTTGGTAATTTAGAATGCAACTAAATTCATAGTGAATTATATACAGTTATTAACTGGATTGGAGGTTTCAAGCCATTCCTTAAACTTGAGGGTGTTCAGGTGAGGACAAAATATTGGTGATAGGATCAAAGTAAAGTCACCTACTAATACAGACTAGGTGCTTTGTTATACAACTTCCAAAATTAACCAATCATTATTACTGTGGCTTCATTATTATTCATTGGATACCAATTTTTATGGATTTTGTGGGTACATGGAAATTACAAATTTAAATGTTCAACAAATTACAAGTTTTCCTCAATCCACAAAAATTGGTAGCCACAAAAATAAATGAATCCACAGTACGCTAAGCTTTTTTAGACTTCTGTTAACATTCATTGAATTATATATTGTACTTGATCTCATATGTTTAATACATGTACATAAAAAAAAAATTTTGCATCAAGAGTCAGGCTAGTATGGATAGGAGGCTATCAAAGAGCTTCCACAGTCAAAGAATTCATTAAAGTACAAAAACAGGTTTAACTAAAGACTACAACTTACAAGGTTCCTGACTTGGACAAACACATTTATTGATGAGATAAATTGTATGCAATGCCAAAGCTTTACAGTATGACTATACCTCATGTCCACAACAGCTGTTAAATAAAGAAAACATGAAATGTCATAAAATGTTTGTCTCTGCATTAGGCATTATTTTTATTTTAATTTGTACATTTGTAAGGTTATTTAGTGATTTTTATTTTTATTTGTTCATATGAATTTTGTAAGGTTAATTATCTTAATGATTTTTTGTGTCCTTTTTTCCAGCCTTGTGGATTTCAAGATTACTTTCCAAGAATAGAGGGTAGGTTTTTAAAGAAAAAGGAAATACTTTTGACATTTAGAACGAATGTTCTCTTGTTTAGGTTTGTCCATTATATGTTAAAGTGGCAATAGCATACATTTTTGTTATGCCCCCACCGCTACATTAAGGATTAATTACCCTTGTCTGTACGTCCTGAAATTGGTTTCCGTTCTCTAACTTTAGTTTTCTTCAACCAAATGTTATAAAACTTATACACAATGCTTATTACCACGAAATTCAGATCAAGGTCTAATTTGAGTGGCGTCACTTTTACCGTTCTGGAGCTATGTCCCTTTATTAAGATGTATATGCAAGGGGGGGCATCATCTATGTCCCATTGACACATTCTCTATTTATTTGTATTTTCTTTCTTAGTTCTAATGAAGCCATAAATAAGAAGCTTACAAATGTTTTAAAACCAATAATATTTATGTCCATGTTTGCAAAATACCCAAATTTCACTGAAATTAGCTATAGATGCCTCATAGATTCTTATCAGAACGTCTGAAACTTTCAAAGACAGAACATGAAAGGAAAGACATCAATAAAACAATTTATCACCATTTGGTGTCGTGAATTTCTTTGAATTGACCTTAAATACTGAGGCAAACAATAATGCATAATAACAGTTAGTTTATGTTGTTATGAAGGAATCTGTCAATAGAGTTTAGTATACCATAGTTCTTGTAGTTAAGGGCATACGATACAGTAGCAAGGGCAGATAATAATGCAGCAAAATTTAGCACGTTGTTAATGATAAGCATCCAAAGTTTGCTGAAAAATGAATAACGCTATCATGTCAGTTACCTGGATTTGAAAGTACTTGCAAAGAAAAACAAAATTACTGTATATTTAAGCACATGAAATGTACCACAGGGCATACAATTCGAGACAAGTGAAGACTGTTTACTTTTCTATCATCAATAAATTAGTATATGACAGTAATTCATATAGCGTTTTGATGTACGAAGAGATTTACTGCACGACCCCTATTTTTAGCTCACCTGGGGTGAAGGGCCAGTGTGAGCTTTAGCCAATAATTGTCATTCGTCATCTGTAGTTGTTGCTGTCTGTTAACTTTTACAAAGATCATCTCCTCTGAAACTACTGGTCTAAATTTAACCAAACTTGGCCACAATCATCAATGGGATATTTAGTTGTATAAATGTGTCCTATGACCCTGTCTGCCAACAAACACGGCCACAGGGTTAAAAATTGAACATAGGGGTAAAATGTAATTTTTGTCTAATATCTTAAAAACCCCTTGTTTCACTTTCAATGTTGACATTCTTTTCCTTTTAATAGCTGAATACATGCATAGCCTAGCTATGTCCAGCTAAGGGGTTAAATTGAAGGTCACATGAAAACAGCAATGTTTCTTAGCTTATTTTGACAAAATTGAACCAAATTGGCTGCTAAAAGCGAATTATTATTTCTTTATTTCACTTTCATTAATGATTGAATAATGATTACTCATGATTTTGCAAAAAGCGGCGTGAAAATATCTCTATCCGTTTAATTGTTGTGTTATTTTTCAGAAAAGTATTGAAAAATGAAATTTTTGTGTTTTTACATAAAACAAGCATATTTAATTGAAATATCTCGAAAAGTTAGTCATGGAGATATATTTTTCTATGCATATTTTGATAGTGCATATCAAAGTTGACTTTGTGTCAAAATCTTAATAAAAAAATCAAAGAGGGATCTTTTTCTGTATGGTATGCACATTATTGAAGGAATAAATTTCTCATGGTCACATTCTATAAGAAAATACTTTCTCTTCTATTCATCCAGTGAGCACATTTTATATATAAGATTATTTTATGTTAAAACTTCTGTTTTGTTATAATTATATCCATATTTTATTTTGCAGCTGTGATATTATTTGGAGAACCAGTCAGATGGGAGACACATTTACAACTTGTAGTTGACATTTTGTTAGCTAATGGAAAACCAAACGAAGCACTAAGTGAAATCCCTTATCCACATCTTCCAGTTCTAGCCTGTAATATGGATCTATTATGGATGGCAGAAGCATGCATGCCTAGGTAACTACTCATTTTTCTATTTGTTAGCTTGGGTTATAATTCACTCATTGTGAATGATACATGTAGGACCAATGTGAGATTCCAATGTTAATAAATGTTCATCTGTTACAGGTGATATACAAAGGTAAGATTCCCTTGCTTTGATCTTGTATCATGTGACATAAACATATCTGTCATGTATGCATGTGAATGCGATATTGTTCTGCATAACTGCAGCGTATTGTTTGGTATGTTTTTGATCTTTACATATATGGGGAAACTGAAGATAAGTCTTTGATATTAGAACTGAGTTTGCTGAATGATTTAGGTTCAATGAATTAAACAAAAATCTATCAGATTGGAATTTGGAACTGAAGTTACAAAATAGGTATAAAATTTAAATAGGATATTGCCTTCTACTGTCTAATGGAAATATTACATTTAAATGACACATAAATAAAATGTGATGTCCATCACTCTGGTTTAATTCTTTTATATATAATATAACAGGGTACATACAGGTCAGTATAAGTAAACACACAGCAGAAGTATTACTGTTATACTTAAAACTTCACCTGTTTGGTATGCAATTTATTTTTTTACACTCTTAAGTAAATAGAAATATTTTTTGAAATACTTTAAATAGATAATAAAGTTCAGAGTAAAGTCAGTGTACCTGTTGCATATATCAGATTGAAACTTTAAAATAACAGTTACTTTTAGAAAACAGTTTTATATGTCATTATGGTTTATTTTCAGATTTGGACATGGATGTTTTCTTGTATGTTTAGAACAACTCTACCAAGTAAGTGTGGCAAATACAGCAGCTAATGGAATTTGATATTTCTACATCTAGTCATATTTTTTTCCCTCCATCAACCACTTCATTTATAAATCTTATACTGGAGTGAAATATCCAGGCTAATCATGCAAATTTCATTGGTAACCTTGACAGGGTTTATGAGCCCATATACCCTGCAAATAAAAACAAAGAACAGAAGCGTTTTAATATTAATAGGCATTCCAGTATAATATAATTTTTTTTCAGATTTTACAGGGGATATGGAATCATACTCTCTGTCAGTGCACTATATCCCTGAGACGTTGTATATAAAAAACACCGACAGAAAATATGAGCCCAATCCTGTGAAGATTCTGAATATCATATAATATTATTAATTGAATATTTTTAAGGATTTGTGATTCGTTTAAACTTGATAATATGTACATTTGTATTTACTCAGTTTGCACACCAATACTGTTGTGTTTAGCTTTTTGTAGGTCAAAAACAGCATATTGCACAGGGCATACAGCATGCTACTAAAATACATTCTAGAAATCCCCAATTTTACATTGTTCATGCAATAGTTGTTGATTAATAATATAACAATTGTAGCCTTTGGTTGAGGTCAATATGATGTTATATAGACCTAGAGAAGCATATCATTGTAACCTCGTATCGACCTCATACAAAGGCTATAATTGTATATTATATCCCTTCATCTAGACATTGAGTAAGGAGCATCATCATGGTTTCTTGTACATTATGTAACTCATTTTCTTATACATTTTTTCTAATACCAAATACATCCATTTAATTATACCATTAAGGCTAGCAACACTGTGCAACCCATTTCTAGACTCATTGCACAAGTATTGCCTTTATATCAGTTGAATATAAATATATTTTCACATAATATAATTAATGTTGGGAATCAGGTTTAGACACAATATTGGTTTTGTTCCATAAAACGCAGAAGCAGTAGGATATTTATAATACTTTTTCTTTGTGAGAAGCTTAACATTTTTATGAAAGTCTTACTACCGGTATATATATATAGCTAATGATTTTGTCATAAAAGATGAAAGTTTGAAATGAATTTCATTTTTGAACAAAGACTTAAATACCTTCTACAAGATGTAACCCAATTTTCTTTAATTGTATTCTTTCTGTTTTAGAAACTTTCAGGCAGAGAACTTAAATACACAGCATTAATAGGTAAACCAAGTGAAATTACATACCATCATGCAGACCATCTCCTGTATCAGCAAGCCAAACAACTAGGAATGGAAAATGTAGATAATATATATTGTATAGGGTATGTAATACTAATATTGACAAATTACCATCTTTCAGTCTTTGGCTCTTCTATTTCACATCTTTTAAAGTATATGTAGGGTATGTAATACTGTAAATAATGAGTAAATTATTGTCATCTTTTTGTCTTTTGGGTTTTCTTTTTCACATTTTGTCCTGTTAGTCACAGAATGAGAGACATAGTGAGGCTAATCAAGTGTCAGTGTCTGTGACAGCATAAACTATTTGCATAAAGCTTTATATTTCAGAAGGTTACGACCTGGGTACTTAAACATCTTTTAAATAGATGCCTTACAGTGGCGGATCCAGAAATTTTCATAAGTGGGGGCCCACTGACTGCCTAAGAGGGGGCCCGCTCCAGTCATGCTTCAGTGATTCCCTATATAATCAACCAAATTTTTCCCAAAAAAAAGGTGGGGGGGGCCTCCTTCATCAACTGTGTCAACATTCAGGTTCAGTCGGTGGTTAAGTTTTTGTAGACATCAGTAACTTCATCAAAATTTTATGAAATTTGTATAGAAGCTTTTTTATGACCAAAAGACAGTATTATGAGCAAAATTTTGAAAAAATTTCCAATTTTCCATATTTTACTGATAAATGGACAGTTTTTTTTTATAGTTAACATTTAGATAAATACATACAATGTATTATAGACCATTGATAAATGGTTAACTGTTACCATGCATCATAACCCTGTAAACTCATTTGTGCTGAAAGGGAGAGAGTATGTGTGTACATATGTGTACATGTCCTTTAGTTGGTTCCATAAATAGTTTCATCACATTTTTCTCATGGACTAAAAATAAGAGCTTTCTGAAACTTGATATCCAGCTCCATGTGTTGAGTTTTCTCATCAATTGTTCATCAACTTCCTGTTTACTGAACACTAATATATTCGTACAAATAATGGCCATATATGAAATTTTGGTGACATTTTTCTCAGGAACTACAGCTTCCTGAAATTTGGTACCACGCTTCATATGATCAAATTATACTGTGTGATATTTTTTCAGATATTGTAGATCCAGGATTTCGAAAAAAGGGGGAGGGTGGTCCCATGTAGAAAATTAATTATGAAAAAAAACTGAAGCTCTTTGTTGTTTTCCTATGTGTCTATTCATAAGATATTTGATTTATATTGTAGAGATAATCCAGAAACAGATATATATGGTGCCAATTTATATAACAGATATTTACAAAATCGTGCCTTTCAACTGAGAAGCAAAAGGAAAAAGAGAGTTATAGCAGGAAATTCCTCATCTCTTGATGTGGACTCTGATGATGATGAACTTATTAGTTCTGTTGTTAATACTATAGAGGATGAAGAATTAGAGAGTAATTATGCTTTGAACTGTCACTCAATTTTAGTATGCACCGGAGTATATTGTTCATCTCGTGACTATGTGACTTATGACAACAAAAAACCGTCCAACCATAATCATAGAGACTTTGTTCTAGACCCTCATCTCAAACAACCAAATTATGTTGTGCAAAATGTACATGAAGCAGTTCAATTAGTCTTTCAAAAAGAACAATGATATTAAAGATTTTAGTGGATTGGTTTTTAAGGATAAGAATCTTGTTAATGTATACACTTCCTTTTATTGTTTTTATTGTCATTATTATTTATTATTTTTTAAATGGTCATCTTTAGATTGTTGTTATTATTATTTCTTTGAGAAAATTGTTTTATCATTATCCCAGAGATGTGCGTAATTGCATGGAACACCCTCATGACTCTTATCATACATTTCATTGATAAACAAAACATGATCGCAATAATAGTGTTAGTTCGATTATGCATAATTCTGATAGTTTTAAGATTGTTACAAAGAACCCTTTTAAAAATAATATTGTTCATAGAATTTAGAAAGATAGTTATTCCATTATGTTGCAATTATTTCCTGAAGTTTCAGAACTGTAACATTTTATAAGATTACAATATGGAAAAGTACATAAATTACTGAATTTCTAGAATTTTTTGCTTACTTGTGGAGTAAATATACTATATTGCATATACACTATTGGTTTTACCAGAATTGAACAACATTGAATTCTGTAGCTGACCAACAGTAGAAATAACAGTATAAGTAACTAAACTGACTATACAGTATGGGTTTTGCTCATTGTTGAAGGCCGTACAGTGACTACAGTTGCTTAAATTTGCTACATTTGGACTCTGTTGGCTTTTTGTGTCATTGGCAATCATACAACATCTCCTTATTTTATAATGAATTCCTATTATGTTGGAACTATTTGGAAAATTTTATCTGTGCATTCACAATAAAAAAATAATGGTATTTTGAAAACAAATCCATTGTTCAAGAATGTTTAAAATTCCAGCATTTTGGTTTCAGTAGTTTTGAATTACATTTATACTACATTTATAGTTAACCAATTCTAAAATTATAGCATCTGAAAAAAATGACCTAGTCAAAAGAACAAGGACAGAAAATTCCTAAAACTTGGGACTGACTTTTATTTCTTTTTCCAACTTGAATCCAGAATTGCAGCCAGTAGGGCTAGCTTATCGTGATTAAAAATAAAATCAGAACTACTGTATATTAAATATTATGTGTAAATTTGTCAAATCTAACATTTTTATGATATTGCAATATAACTTTCTCATGACTATATTAGTTTCCATTCAGTTTCATTTGAGTGCTTTTCCATTTTACTGAACTACCTTGGTGGTCTCGTGGTAGCATGCTTGCTAGCCTTAATTGAGGGAGTATATCCTGCTTGGTAAAACCATAGACTTAAAAATTGGTATTTGCTGCTTCTCAACTAAGCATACAGCATTTAGGGATTAGAGCAAAGACTGGTCAACTAGGAGTCAAACCTGAGCTTGTCATTGAATACATATATTAATATGTAGGGAAAACCATCACTCTTTCAACAAATTTATTCAACTAAAAAAATAGGTCAGGACTGCTGTCAGAGCTTGGAAATGATGTCAAGGTCATTACTTATTGATGTAGTGTATAAAATACTGTGCTGTCTGAGCTTGGAAATGATGTCAAGGTCATTACTTATTGATATAGTGTATTTATAAAAATCAACAAACAAAATTATCATAAATCACTGACCTTTGAAAGTAATCTACGATGTTGTTGTCTTTGTGTAGCATTATTTTCCTGAGGTTTAAGACAACCGTAGCATACCTCTGGGTATCCATCCTGATTACTCTTTACCAGCCTGTACAGTTAGAAGGTGTTGGTTCACTCGATGCAACCTTTGAAAATAAGGTCAAGATCAGGTGACCTTATGAGATTAACATGTGTACCTGAATTTAATATATAAGATTCTCTGGACGAAGTACATTTAATCTATAAATGCGTAATGTAATTAAGAAACTAACCAAACCTTAAATATTTTTAAATCCATGAATTCAGATTTGTTCAGCTGACAATAAGAACCAAAGCTGAGTGTACTTATATAAAAATAAAATTGGGTAACTAATGGTAGACTTGACAAACAAGATTTACATAGCTCCAACAGCAAGGGAATTCCTCTTAGTTTAGGGCAAAGTAATGTTAATTTTTTTTTTATGAACATTTAGCATTCGCCATAATATTTTTGCTTTACAAAACTGGTTTAATTATCCCAGGAGTTTGAGCCTTTGAAGGTAATGTCTTTAATATAAATAGTTTATCACTAGAACCAGTGGCAGTAGATAATAGCAAAACTGAAAAATAGTCATGGACACCAGGCCTGGACTAATGAACATACAATGATTCATCAGAGCAAAACATCTTATACACCAACTTTTAGTACCAGTAATTGGAACACACACTCGTGGAAACATACATTTGATTTTGTAAGTCACATGATAACTATCGTGTGTTACTGTACTGTTTGCCAATACCTAATAGAATTGAGAATGGAAATGTGGAATGTGTCAGAGACAAACAACCTGACCAAAGAGCAGAAAACAGCCCATAGCCACCAATGGGTCTTCCACACAGCGAGAAAATCTCAAACCCAGAGGACGGCATCATCTGGCCCCTAAATAATATTGTATACTAGTTTAGTGAAATGGCCGCCACACTTTACTCCTAAAAATAAAATATAAATGAACCAAAATAAAAAACAAGACTAAAAAAATTTACATACAAAACCTGTTTTACCTCTTGAAATGAATCTTTCTTTACAAATAGATAGCTAAATAACATAAAAAGTAATTGTTACCTTCATTCTCACACTTTAATTACCACTGATAATGAGGCCAAAGCAATGACACAAGTGAGAAAGACATATTCCGTTTTAAACAAATTCACATACCAAATACTGTTGATCAATCATGCAGTTCCTTATTTACTCAGAAACAGACCTTATCCTGAATTGTTAAATTAAGGTCAAGGTCATATGTCAGATGCACACATACTCTTTCCATATGAAATTTGTCACACAGACCTTTACTCTTTTCAATCAATGTACAGAATAAATATTGTTGAGCTATCATGTATAGGTACTGAGGAACAGACCTCATCCTGAAAACTTAACCCGACCACTCCAGTGTGAAATTTTGGTCAAAGCAATATAACATATTTCAGGACCAACAGTCAAACCTGCTATAAAGGTCACCTCTATAAAGCAAAATCTTGTCTTTTCGGGTCACCTTCTTCTACACCTATACATTTTGAGCCTTGATTTGACTAAACTACTTTCATATACGAATAAAAGGAAATGTGTAGTTTATGTCAATTAGACAGCAACCCAAATACTGGAAATTTAGAAATTATTGCAAGGTTTTTATTAATGTGAATATTGCAACTGGGCGAGTATTGCAATGATAAGAATGCGCATTTTGATATCTGATACATATATATGTTTGCAGCTTAATTTATGGTTCAGTGAACAAGGTTAAGTGTTTGTGGTCAAGTCCATATCTAAGATACTGTAAGCAATAGGTCTACTACATTTGGTGTATGGAATGATTGTAAGGTATAAATGTCCAACTGGCAGGTGTCATCTGACCTTGACCTCATTTTCATGGTTCAGTGGTTTAAGTTAATAGATATAAGAAGATGTGGTATGAAAGCCAATGAGACAACTCTCCATCCAAGTCAAAATTTATAAACGTAGACCATCATAGGTCAAAGTACGGTCTTCAACATGGAGCTATAAAGGGCCCCAAAAATTACTAGTGTAAAACCATTAAAACGGGAAAACCAACGGTCTAATCTATATAAAAACGAGAAACACTTATGAACCACATCAACAAACGACAACTACTGAACATCAGATTCCTGACTTAGGACAGGTGCAAACAAATGCAGCGGGTTTAAACGTTTTAATGGTACCAAACCTTCACCCTTTTTCTGAAACCAAAGTGTAACATCACAACATAGAAAGACACACTATAAAATGTCAACTGAAATAGCTTAACTCAATCAAATTAAGGTTTTTTGTTTTGGTCTGTTTTTCTTCAACTACCCCCCACCCCCACCCCTCCCCGGTATAAGCAATAGGTCAACTATATTTGGTGTATGGAATTATTGTAAGATGTACATGTCTGTCTGGTAGTTATCATCTGACCTTGATCTCATTTTCATGGTTTATTGGTCAATGTTAAGTTTTCCTGGTTAAGTTTGTTTCATAGATACTATATGCAATAGGTCGAACTGTATTTAAAGTATGGAATGATTGCTAGGTATACATGTCCATCTGGCAGGGTTCATCTGACCTTCACCTCATCTTCATGGTTCATTGGCCACTATAAATTTTTCATGATTTGGTCTGTTTCTTATTATACAAAATGTATAAGCAATAGGTTAACTATATTTGGTGTGTGCAATGATTGTAAGGTGAACATGTATTTCTGGCATGGTTTATATGACCTTGACCTCATTTTCTTTGACCATAAAAAGTGTATGCAATACTTGTAGTAAAACTATATTTAGGACTATCAACATAAAATCAATGGTCAGTAATGCAGGCAAGACAATTCAGCATGTACACTCTTGTTATATGTTAGTGAAGGTTAAAACTAATATTTATGAAATCTCAATCTTATTCTTAATAATTTCAATTAGTGAAGGTTAAAAAAAGTCTACATTAAAAGTATAATATACACTAAAATTTTGCAATTAAATTCTCCATTGATATATTATTATAAAACTAAGGTTCCAACTCCCTCAGACAAAGTTGACCATAGATGGATTTGGTTATTCTTTCAGACCCCCTTTGTTCATATAAGCTCTCGACTCTTCATATGTTTAGGTAGTTTTAAAACCTTGGCTTTTATTTTTTGGGTGTGATACTTCCTGATGAAGGTAAATCCAGAAAAGCACATTGAAATTCAGACTCAAACAAAATTTATAAAGTTACTACTGACCACATGATGTCATATCAAAACATGCAGAAATTGACACATTTGCCATAAAATACAAATTCTGCACACAAAAAGATATCTTACTTAATTAACATTTTTTTAATACATGTAGCAGAATATTTTGGTTAGGAAAAGAAAAGCTGGCTATTTTTTCATATAAAGATTGTAGTAGAAGTTCTAATATCTATTCTACTAAGGGAGCTACCATTTGATTTTTATGGGGGGGCTAGGATGAAAAATTTTGTCCTGCCTTTTTATTTTTCCCTCTATTCGGTCCTGCCTTTTTATTTTTCACTCTATTCGGTCCTGCCTTTTTTTTTTAGTTTATCCCGACTTTTTTTTTACATAAATTGTCATCCTGCCTTTTTTTTTTGCAAATAATCTCATCCTGCCTTTTTTTTTACTCAAAACTCCTGTCCTGCCTATTTTTTTCAAATTTCATCCTAGCCCCCCCATAAAAATCAAATGGTAGCTTCGGTAAACAACAATTTACATGTGTTGGTCATTATACAGCCGCAAAAAAAATTTTGTGGTCGTATATTGGTATGACGTTGGCGTCGTTGTCGTCGTCGTCTGGCGTCGTCCGAAGACGCATTAGTTTTCGCACTCTAACTTTAGTTTAAGTGAATGGATCTCTATGAAATTTTACCATAAGGTTCAATACCACAAAAGGAAGGTGAGGATTGATTTTGGGGGTTATGGTACCAACAGTTATGGAATTGGGGGCCAAAAATAAGCATTTTTGTAACTTTCAGACATAACTTGTGTGTAAGTGTATGGATCTCTCTGACATTGTACCGCAAGGTTCCATATCACAAAGGGAATGCTGGGATTGATTTTGGGGGTAATTGCCTCCAAATTTTAGGAATTAGGGGCCAAAAAGGGGCAAAAAACAAGCATTTTTCTAGTTTCATGACAATAACTTGTGTGTAAGTGTATGTATCTCTCTGACATTGTATCACAAGGTTCCATATCACAAAGAGAATGCTGGGATTGATTTTGGGGGTAATTGCCTCCAACTTTTAGGAATTAGGGGCCAAAAAGGGGAAAAAAACAAGCATTTTTCTAGTTTCATGACAATAACTTGTGTGTTAGTGTATGGATCTTTATGAAATTGTACAAGGTTCCATATCACAAAGGGAAAGCTGGAATTGAGTTTGGGGGTAATTGCCCAAAAAGTTTAGGAAAAAGGGGCCAAAAATAAGCATTTTTCTAGTTTCCAGACAATAACTTGTGTTCAGGTGTATGGATCTCTCTGAAATTGTACTGCAAGGTACCATACCACAAAGGGAAGGCTGGGATTGATTTTGGGGGTAATTCTCCAAAATTTTAGGAATTAGGGGCCATAAAAGGGCAAAAAAACAAGCATTTTTCTAGTTTCAGGACAATAACTTGTGTGTAAGTGTATGGATCTTTATGAAATTGTACTGCAAGGTTCCATATCACAAAGGGAAAGCTGGGTTTGAGTTTGGGGGTAATTGCCCTAAACGTTTAGGAATTTGGGGCCAAAAAACAAGCATTTTTCTAGTTTCCAGACAATAACTTGTGTTCAAGTGTATGGATCTCTCTGAAATTGTACTGCAAGGTACCATACCACAAAGGGAAGGCTGGGATTGAGTTTGGGGGTGATGAATCATAAGGGGGTTCAAAAATTTTTTTTTTCTTTAAAATTTTCCATTTTAAATTAGTTATTTCTGATTTAAATATAAAAGCAAATAATAATGATACGGTTTGAATAGGTAAATTAAAAAAATTTTAAGTTCTTAGACCACTTTCATTCTGTGTCAGAAACCTATGCTGTGTCAAATATTTAATTACAATCCAAATTCAGTGCTGTATCAAGCTTGAATGTTGTGTCCATACTTGCCCCAACTGTTCAGGGTTCGACCTCTGCGGTCGTATCAAGCTGCGCCCCAGCGGAGCATTTTATTTTTTAAGATACCTCCATGTGTAGTAATGGAAAACAGGATGTAACTCATCATTGTTTAGCTGCATACCAAGTATGAAGTCATTCTTTTCATTAATCAAATGTGTGACAAAAAGATCAAATACATTCAACATATTGATAAATTCAAAGTATAAGAAAATAGAAATTAGGCACCTGACAGACCCAAAACAAATTAGAACAATACAGTTCATCACTTTCCAGCTTATGACCTACATTATAATATCAAGTCATTTTGTTGAGTAGTACCAGTGAAAAGTGTGAGGAAAAACATTTGCTGGACAAATAGACAGACAAGGTCATTGCAATCATTCCCAATTCTTAGAGTTGAGATATAAAATATTGTTAGTTGAGAATACAGAATGCCTTGCCATTAACCAAAATGAGTTGTTTGTAGAATTCCATGTTTTTTTTTACAGTGAGTACTTTTTTGTAGATTTTGGAAAAAAATAATGACATCAAACAATTGCTTGGAGCTATCAATGCTTAATTCACAAACCCTAACCATGGCCATCTACATTCTACATTATCAACAGTCAATTCTATCATTCTCTTGTAAGCATACTGGCACTTTAGGACCATGTAAGGTGTTGCCATTATTTGGTGTCCATCCTCTGTCTTTTTCAAAGCTCTTCTCAGAAAGTAATAGACCATCAAACAATTGACACCAAACTTTAAATGATTGATCCTTAAGATGTCTAGATAACAGTTATAGTATTCTGTTCTATCAACCAACATGGCCACCATAGCTTACAGTAGAACATAGGGTTTGAATACAAGAACATTTCAAATATCTTGAAAACCTGATTGAGAAAATATAACATAGTAAAAATGTTCAGAAAGTCAATTTTTTTCTATTTTCCATTAGTATCAACTTATCAGATGACTCTTTTTAGGAGTTATTGCCCTTAAAAGACCAAATAGATTGTAATGACGATTCAATATATGTATATTTGTTGTTAACATTCTGAATGAACTTTCAATAATAAATGTTGAAGGCTTTTATCTTTATATATTTTGATTTCTTAGAAAAATCTGTTCACATACAATCTATGACATAATGTATTTCAACCAAGGATCTACTGGTATGTAAAACAATATTTTTTTATGAAATCTTACAATCTTACAATTCAGAGTAACTGGCCCATGAAGACAGTTATGGTCCTTTGATTTCCATTGCCTACAAATATAGTCCCTAGTGCATGTAGTGTGGACAATGTATTACTCGCAATGTTTTTCATACTCCTTCCAAATTTATTTCTTCATGTTTATACCACAAATAACAAATAAGGGGAAGAAATTACACTGTAAAAAATTTTGAATTAAAATATCTGCAAGAAATGCACTTCAAAACGTGTTCTGGAGCCAACAAAAAATAATAGCTGAAATAAATTTAAAATTTTACCATTACTTTGCTTTAAGAGGGAATGACAGTTTTATATTCATATAGAATAATAATAATCATACAAATTTTATTTTCATTTTTATTAATCAATTCATGAAAACAACAAGACTGTCCATATCCCTTATAAATATGTTTATCACTACAGAAACTGTTAACTTTATTGTGGAGGTTGCCAACTTTCTATTTTTGGCCTTGTGGTACTATATGGTACATAACATTCTTTAGTTCCAGATAAGTTTTCTTTGTGTACATCTACCATCCATTTCCTTTTCACAGGAGGATTATCAACAGGGGTTTCATCTGTTGAGTAGTGGAGCCATCCATGCCTGAAAAAGTAATACAAAGTGGGTTTACATCTTTGGTTGATAGTTTGTCTCATTGCCATTGGCAATCATACCATATCTCATTATTCTATATACTGCAGAGGTGTCATGTGTAAATTTGTACTGGTTTAATATATTTCTTGAGGGGAACAGTCACAGACAATTGTATTTTTATACACATCTTGCCATAAATATCAGATAGTTTGCTTTGTTTTCCTCCATTTACGTCATATCAGGTGCTGTTTCAACCCATAATGTTTAAGGAGCTTGCTGAAAACTGTAGGAGTTGATTAAACTAATTACAAATTAAAAGAAAAATAGGTAAAATTCTGCAACTTAAAGAAAAGTCAATTCAGTTTAATTGTTCCTTAATTTGATTGGGATGATTTGTATCTTTACTTACCACTCTGCAGGAATCTGAGATGAATCATAACAAAAACCTTGATTTCTATTATAAACAATCCAACGGTTTCTACCTGCAATTTAAATATTTAATATTGAGGATGTTTGCTTGTCTTGTTTTTGACTTTTTGTCTGATATTCGGAATCCTCTAGTTTTATCCATGTAAAGCCAACCCCTACTTTTATTTCCATAATTTTATTACATACAGTTTTAAAAGCCATTTTTGAAAATCTTATAAAATTCTTGTTATTTTTTCATAGTTTTTGAAAGAAAAAAGGTGCAAATGTTAAATGTATGAAAAATCTAGTAGAAATCATTTCCCACCAAATTTTCAATTGGTTATATCTCAAAAACAAGGACATGGACCTTTAATTTTTTTCTGAATTTTTAGTTCCTTTATCCATATACTATCAATTTATTACAGTCTACATGATATACATGATATAATAAAATGCTCTGCTGGGAGCAGCTTGATACGACCGCAGAGGTCGAACCCTGAACAGTTGGGGCAAGTATGGACACAACATTCAAGCTTGATATAGCACTGAATTTGGATTGTGATTAAATATTTGACACAGCATAGGTTTCTGACACAGAATGAATGTGGTCTAAGAACTTAACATTTTTTAATTTACCTATTCAAACCATATCATTATTATTTGCTTTAATATATAAATCAGAAATAACCAATTTAAAATGGAAAATTTTAAAGATAAAAAAATCCCTCCCCCAAATTTTTTGAACCCCCTTATGATTCATCACCCCTAAACTCAATCCCAGCCTTCCCTTTGTGGTATGATACCTTGCAGTACAATTTCAGAGAGATCCATACACTTGAACAAAAGTTATTGTCCTGAAATTAGAATAAAATGCTTCGCTGAGCGCAGCCTGATCGACCGCAGTGGTCGAACCCTGAACAGTTGGGGCAAATTTGGACACAATATTCAAGCTTGATACTATCTGAATTTGGATTGTGATCAAATTTTTGACTTGATATAGGTTTCTGACACAAAATAAATGTGGTCAAAGATCTTACAAATCCAATGTGCAATACTGTGCAATTGAAGATTTCTTCTTGAAACTTTTAACAAATTTGAAATTTTGAAGAAAAAAAATTGGAAACCCACCCTTCCCCCCTAACTTTTTGAATCCCTCTTTTAGCATTAACCATCAAACTCAATTGCAGTCTTTCCTTTGTAGTATGGAACCTTGTAGTACAATTTTAGAGAGATCAATACACTTAACTCCGCTGGGCACAGCTTGATAAGACCGCAGAGGTCAAAACCCTGAACAGTTGGGGCAAGTATGGACACAACATTCAAGCTTGATACAGCGCTGAATTTGGATTGTGATTAAATATTTGACACAGCATAGGTTTCTGACACAGAATGAATGTGGTCTTAGAACTTAAAAATTTTTAATTTACCTATTCCCAACATTTCATTATTATTTGCTTTTATATATAAATCAGAAATAACCAATTTAAAATGAAAAATTTTAAAAGAAAAAAAAAGGAAAAAAAAATCCCCCCCCCAAATTTTTTGAACCCCCTTATGATTCATCACCCCCAAACTCAATCCCAGCCTTCCCTTTGTGGTATGGTACCTTGCAGTACAATTTCAGAGAGATCCATACACTTGAACACAAGTTATTGTCTGGAAACGAGAAAAATGCTTGTTTTAGGCCCCTTTTAGGCCCCAAATTCCTAAACGTTTAAGGCAATTACCCCCAAACACAAACCCAGCTTTTCCTTTGTGATATGGAACCTTGTAGTACAATTTCAGAAAGATCCATACACTTACACACAAGTTATTGTCTAGAAATTAGAATAAAATGCTCCGCAGGGCGCAGCTTGATACGACCGCAGAGGTCGAACCCTGAACAGTTGGGGCAAGTATGGACACAACATTCAAGCTTGATACAGCTCTGAATTTGGATTGTGATTAAATATTTGACACAGCATAGGTTTCTGACACAGAATGAATGTGGTCTAAGAACTTAAAAATTTTAAATTGGACATTCACCTATTATGGTCCAATATCCAAAATCTAAATACATGGTTAGATTCAGCATATCAAAGAACCCCAAGAATTCAATTTTTGATGAAATCAAACAAAGTTTAATTTTGGACCCTTTTGACCTCAATGTGGACAAAGTTGATAACGGGGCCCAAAAATCTAAATACATGGTTAGATTCAGCATATCAATGAACCCCATATATTCAATTTTTGTTGAAATCAAACAAAGTTTAATTTTGGACCCCGATTTGGACCAAGTTGAAAACTGGGCCCATAATCAAAAATCTAAATACATGCTTAGATTCAGCATATCAAAGAACACTAAAAATTCAATTTTTGTTAAAATCAAACTAAGTTTAATTTTGGACCCTTTGGACCTTAATGTAGACCAATTTGAAAACAGAACC